CAGTGGTAAAGGCTTTTGCTGCTAAGCCTGATGACCTGAGTTCAGTTACCAGAACCCACATGGTACAAGAAGTAAATAGGTGCACGCTGTCCTCTGATTTCCTAATATGTACCTTGGCATTTGCAGGTACACACACACACACACACAGACACACACACACACACATAAATAAACAAATGTAATTTTGAAAAGTTTTTAAAAGAATAAGATTCTGTCCTTTGCAACAGTAAGAATGAGCCTGGAGGACATTATGCTAAATGTAATAAACCAGACACAGAAAGAAAAGTACTGCATGATCTTAACTGTGTGTGGATTCTAAAAAAAGAAAAAGTAACCTTCTTATAGAGCGTAGACAGATGGTTTACCAGAAACTTAATGAAGGGAAAGTGTTGATCAATTCTACATTTTGGTTAGACTAGAAGAATAAATTTTAGTGATCTATTTTACTACATGGTGACCACTTAAATAATAGTTTCAAAATTGTTAAAAGAATAGATTTTAAAAATATTTTTATTAATTCTTTGAGAATTTCATAGAATGTAAGTTGATCATATCCACCCCCAGTACTCTTCCTAACTCATCCCATAGCCACCTTCTCCCCCAAGCTCATGTTCTCTTTTTTTAAATAACCCAACAAGTCCAATTTGTGCTGTCCATATACTCCCGAGTGTGGGGCCAACTACTGAAGGATGGTTGACTACCAGGAGCCACACCCTTAAAGAAAACTGACTCCTCCCTCAGAAGCCATCAGTTGTTCATAGCTCCTCAGTTGGGGGTTAGGGGTGAATTGTTTCCTCCTTCCATGGTAGAATGCTGACTGGCTTGATCTTGTGCAGGTCTTGTGCAGGCAACAATAATTGCTATGAGTTCACAAGTGACAATGATCTTATCATGTCCAGAAGACCTTGATTTGTTCAGGTCCTCCCCAAACTCTGACTCTTACAATCTTTCTGATCCCTTTTCCACAATAGTCCCTGAGCTTTAAGGGGTGGTGATATAGATGCCTCATTACAACTGACATTTATTGTCTGCATTTTGATCAGTTGCAAGTTACTGCATTAACCACTGTCCACTGCACAAAGACACTTCTCGAATGAGGTCTAAGAGCTGAACTAATGTATAGGTAGAACAATACAAATTTAGAGCACCGTTTGATACTATGTCCATTTAGCAGAATAGTAGTAACAGATTCACTCCTGGGGTCCAGGAACTCCTCAGCATGTATTCTGGATCAGATTTCCAGTACCAGATATGTGTTTCCTCCTGTGGAAAGGCCTGAAAATGGATCAGAGAGCGGTTGGTTACTATATAAGATTCATACCACTAGTGTACCCATGTATCTTGCCATACTGATCATTATTATAAGTTGACATGGTTCACAGCTGGATAAGGCTCTTGATGGCTTTCCCCCCCAGCAGCCTACATAGTACTTTCCAGTACTATGACAGATAGCCAGCAAAGAGGAAGCTTCATAGACAGTGCTGACTTGTTTCTGCATGTTCCACATGCATGTGGAGTCTTTAGCAATAGGGTCTTACCATCAAGTTCTAGTGGGCAATCAAGAGCAACGGCAGTAGCCTGTATTGTTTTGAGTGTCTCCAGGATACTTCTGACCAACACCTGGAGGAAGGTATCCCGCATCTCATGCTGAGCTTTTTATTTGGCAACCTATGGCTTCTGGTAAGAGCATAACCCCCTGTGTAAGGTAAATTCAAGGAAAAATAATAGATTTTTAATGTTCCATTCCAAAAACATTGTAAGTTGATAAGATAATGGAAATGTTAATTATCTTAACTGAGCCCACAATGAATGTGCAGATCAAAACATCACACTGTGCCTCATTAGTATACATAATTATTATTGGACTAATAAAAATAATTATGTTACATAGTGACTGCTATTTAGCTTGTTTTAATTTCCCATATACACATGCATTCACATGTGTCAAACATCAGAAATATATACAGTTAAAAAACAAAGCTAATGAATCTCTGTTGAATCAGGAAACCTTTTAGAATTTAGCCTATAACAAGATGACAAAAATGTACCAACATACAGACTATGAGACTTCTGGGCCCCAATGTGAAATTTATTCTTTTATGTTACTATAAAGAAAACCTTATTTCTTAGGTTGCAAATGTATACACATTATTAAACATATATTCCATTTCTAGGCATATTTTATTCCCATTAATCACTCGTATGAAGGCTTTGAAAAATGATTTCCTGTCCTAAAACATAAAATGTGGCAAAAAATTGGACTTGCTATCACCGCCCAAAAGCTCAGAGAACACATATCTTATGAGGTAAGATGGATATGCATCCTCCCTAAACAAACTGTATTAAGATACTGGTAGAAATTGACTGAATTTACAGTACTCACTTTATGAACAAATAGCAGACCATGAAATTGTGCTTTTCTTAAAGGACTGGAATTACAAGATGCAGTTAAAGCTCTGTAATGAGTTTATAAAAGATATACCAAAGGCCACAAAAACCGATATCTATGATGAGACCATAACCCATGTTATCCTCATACATGGATCTGCAGAAGACTGTCAGTTGCGAAAAATTTATAAGGCACCTTTTTTAATTCCTGTAACATGCCATCAGGTAAAGAAATATTGACTCGTGTCTTTGGATCAATATGCCTTGTATCCAACAATGTATTAACAGCAGAAAAACCATCAGTATGATCAGGCTTTTCACCTTCTCAACTCCTTCATTCCCCCACCCCACCACCCGATAATCAGTTACCCACACCTACATATACAGAGCTTGTTGCTTTGATACTCAATGGCCTAAACACAACTTCTTTGACAATGAATATAAAAAAAGAATATTTTCTCATATTTGAACTGTTAGAAGTTCAAAAAGAAAGCCTGAGTCAGATGCAAAATTAAAGAAAAAAAACATTGTGTGTGTGTGTGTGTGTATGAGAGAGAGAGAGAGAGAGAGACAGAGAGAGACAGAGAGACAGAGAGAAACAGAGACAGAGAGACAGAGACAGGGAGCCTGTACATTTGTGTATGGTGAAAGTACAAGAGGCATACACCAATGGGAATTGGAAGGACATATAAAATACAACCACAGAAAGTGAATTGGGAAGAGGGACCCAGAATCAGGTCAACCAGCTTCAGATACAATGAAATCATTTTTTTTTTTTTTTGGTCTTTTTGAGACAGGGTCTCCCTGTAGCCTCAGCTGGCCTGGAACTCACTATGTAGACCAGGCAAGCCTTGAACTCACAGAGATTCATGCCTCTGCCTGCCTCCTGAGTGCTGGGATTAAAGGTGTGCACCACCACGCCCAGCTAATGAAATCCATTTTTAAGATGCTGCTATATGACAGAAATAGTGCTAGAACAGTGAAATGAGAAAGACAAATGAGACATCTGGCCTATCCTCAAGCCCTCTCCCAACCAAGCAAAAAGAAACAGGCATATGTGTATACTAATAGCCAACAGCTGTGATGGAAATACTTCCGACAGACTCAGGACACAAGGGAGAAAAGCAAAGTGGAACGCAGCTTCTCTTCCTCAGCTCAGCATCAGGGTTTCCTGCCAAGGCAATTTTTATTATGTTTTAGTTAGGGAAAGGTCCAACTGCTGTCAGGCAAAGGGAAAAAAGGATTCCAGCTCTTTTAGCAGTTTCCTTGATTGGTGTGAACTGAAGCCTGTTTATAAAGGATCTGCTAGTCTGTATCTTCAGAGTGCTACTGGGGAGCAGGTCAAATGAATTTATCACCTTAGAAATGATTCATTCTTTAGTGGTATTATTTAACAAATATTCTGACAGTGTGTATGAACTTAGTATCAGTAATTTTGAGAAGGTGTATTTTATGTTGGATGAGTTTCTTCCAAATAGAGACCTGGAATGAAAGAAAGATCCTAAACTGAATGAGTGGCTATATTAATAGAACATTTTAGTGCCAGTGCCTTTATAATTGCATTATTTTGTTGGTGCTCCTAACTCTTGTTTTGATTCTCTGTGATCTCGATACGGCTTATTCTTCGCACTTACTGATTCAAATACTTCTTGACACAGTATGGCCTGTATTTTTGTCCCAACAGCCAGCACCTGTGTGGAAATCATGGCTGGACAAGAAACAGCTCCCTTAGGACTGATGGCCCTGAGTTCCAGTGGCTCACAAGATGGACTTTCACACCTAGAAGCTCACAGCACTGAGCCTTGAGAACTAGGGGCTTCATAGTCCAAAAAAGCTCCCAAACCTGGAGGCTTTTTGTGGCTAGGTCTTTGAGACAGAAGCTTACTGCTCTAGGCTTGGAGAGCCAATGCCCATTAGTTAGAGCTACAGCTCCTAGGTTCTGGCCATCAGAACACTGAGCTCCTTAACCCGGTGGCTGTCCTCAATTCTAGCAATCAGAGGTTGCAGCCCTCGTGGTTTCAACTCCTGCCTTTTCACAGCCTCTGGTCTTTTCAGTGCTTCTGTCCTTCATCTTGGCTTCTTTTGGATTTGAACCTAGGTAGCTCTTGGGAACTCTTAGTGGCTTCCTTGCTGCTGCCACTGCCATTGCCAGAATTGGGAGCCTTGGGATCCCATCTATTCCTTGTGCAATTAGCCCTGCTGACTGTCCCTGGACTAAAGACCATAAGCAGGCAGAGACCATTTGGACCTAATGCTGTGACACTAAAGGATAGTATACAGGAGAGAACCTCCCAGACAAACCTAAAAACAATACAAGTCACTGCCATTGCCCTTACTTGCCTGCCAGAACTCAATGGGAAGACTTCATTGCTGAAGACACTTTAGTCACTGGACATGGATAAATTAAGTGATACTGACAAGAAGTTTCCTCCCTACTGACTAGCTTTCATAGTACTGGAAGATGCTATGCAGGCTGCTGGGGGAGGAACATCATCAATAGTCTTATCTAGCTATGAATCTATGAACTGCAACAGTGACATGCATGGCAAGATAAGTCCATGGGTGCAATAATGGCAAGAATGTTTTAGCATAACCAATCTTTCTGATTGAATGTAAGGCCTGCTCCACAGGAGGAAACACACACCTGTAAATATGAACTATAATCCATGGTCGGGGAGTTCATAGGTCCCAGGGGTGAATATACACTATTATTCTGCTAAATAGACTTCTAGACTATTTCCATGCCCTGGCTATTATAAATAGAGCATCAATGAACGTGGATAAGCATGTATCTCTGTTATAGGAAGCAGAGTCCTTTGGGTATATACCCAGGAATGGTATAGCTGGGTCATATGGTAGATTCATTTGTAGTTTTTTGAGGTACCGCCATACTGATTGCCAGAGTGGCTGACCAGTTTATACTCCCACCAACAGTGCCTAAGTGTTCTCCTTCCCTCACAGCCTCACCAGCATAAGTTGTCTTTTGTTTTCTTAATCTTAGTCATTCTAACTGTGGTAACAGGAAATCTCAAAGTAGTTTTAATTTACATTTCTCTGACTAAAGATGATGAATATTTTTAAAGATATTTCTCAGTCATTTGTATTTCTGAGAACTCTCTGATCAGTTTCATAGCCCACTTTTTAATTGGGTTGTTTTCTTTTGTTTAGGATTTTTTTGTTTTTCTTTTATATCCTAGCTAGGAATGCTCTGTCAAATGTATAGTCGGCAAAGACTTTTTCCTGTTCTGTAGGTTGCCTCTTCACTCAAAGGTGATGTACTTTACTGTAGAGAAGCTTTTCATTTTCTTGAAGTCCTACTTGTTGATTCACATTTCCTGTGAATTCAAGGTCTTATTCAGAAAGCCCTCACTTGAGCCTCTGTCCTGAAGTGTAACTGCCTACTCTTTCCTCTAGAGGGTTCAGAGTTTCATGAAGTTCTAACATTAAGATGGTGGATGCATTTGGAATTGACTTTGTGCAGGCTAAAAGATCAGGATCTAATTCCGTTCTTCTACATGCAGCTCCCCAGTTTGACCAGCACCATTTGTTAAAGACAATGTCTTTTCTCTGGTGTATATTTTTGGCCCCTGTTAAAAATCAGGTGACTGTAAGTGTATGGACTTACACCTGGGTTCTCCATTCTATCCCACTGATCAGTGTGTCTGTTTTTGTGCTTTTATTGCTATAGCTCTATAGGAAAGTTTTAGATCAAGAATAGTGGTACCTCCAGCAGTGTTTTTACTGTTTGGGATTATTCTGGGTCTTGTGTGCTTCCATGTTTCCATTTGGTTTTCACAGAGCATTATCTCGTATCTGCTTGCTTTGGATGCTATTTCCTGAACTGTAATAAAATGCTGCTTCTTTTGCTATGTGCATATAGCTGCTTGTTTTAAATTAGTAGATATCATTTAAATTTCATTATTTTTATTTTCTGTGTATGAGTGTAATACCCACATGTATGTAAGTGCACCCATGGTGTGCAATGCCCATGGAGGCCAGAAGAAGACACTGGATTTCCCTGAAACTAGAGCTATGGATGGTGGTTAGTTGCCATGAGGGTGCTGGGAACTGAAGGTGGATCCTCTGCAAGAGTAGCCAGTGCTCTTAACAGCTGAGCCATCTCTCCAGCTCTTAAATTAGTAGATTCTGAAATGGCTTTTCACACGTGTCTAACATAGAAGGATTAGCTGGATGTGGCAGGACATACTGCCCAGCACTTAGGAGACTGAAACAAGAAGATCATGATTTTGAGGCCAGCCTGGGATTCATAGAAAAAATCTAGCTCAGCCAGAGCTACAGATTGAGATGTTGTATCAAAACAAAAACAATGGAAACAAAAACAGGCTACAGAGATGGCTCAGTGGTTAAGGGTGTGTACTGCTCCTATAAAGGACCCAAGTTCAGTTCTCAACACCCACACAAGGCAGCTCACAACTCTCTGTAACTCCAGTTACAGCAAATCCAATGCCCTTTTCTGGCTTCAGCTGGCCCCTACACTCATATGTATATTTCCACACACAGACACAGCTTACACATAATTTAAAATGAAATAAATCTTTTAAGAAAAAGAAAATGTAACATCTGGGTATGTATACAGTAGTAGAGTGCTTGCCCACGGTGGCCATAGAGGGCATTGGATTGCCTGGAACTAGAATTAAGTACAGTTGTTAGCCACCATGTGGGTGCTGGCAACCAAACCAGAGTCCTTCAGAAGAGCAGCCAGTGCTCTTAACTGCTGAGCCATCTCTCTAGCCCTGTTTGATGTTTTCAATATTATTGACAATTAGATCCTCTCATTTTCTCATTTGGAAGAGATAAAATATCAATGACACTATATGACATAGTGACTTTCACAAAACTAACTTCTCCGGGAGTTTTAAGATATCTATATTATATATGCAGAGAGAATGGTGTTTTCAAATTTGTACTGATGTTTAAAGAGGAATTAGAACAGGAACTTCTAAGAGAAACATGTAATTGCATAACCTGTGTTCAGAAATTAACTTGTGTTCTGTCAATTTTCAGATACAAGGCACTGACGATTTCAAAAAAGTAATTATCATTCAAACTTCAGTTGGTGTGAGAAAATTCAGATGGAATGTAAAAAGGTTTAGACCATCATCTAAAGTTTCTATGACACCACAATTAAAAGGCAAGTTAGATTTCTTGAGCATAATTATGAGAGTACTTTCCTTTTATAAAACAGCCATATATATTTGGAAACAAGAGTATGCCTTCTACCTAGGGTATTGTGAACTCCCCTTAACTGCTCTATTTATTGTGTTAAATTTTTCAACGCCATAGCATAAACAACTTATTGGAGGGAAATTTTGTTTTGGGTTTAGGATTCACATGTCTCAGTCCATGGTTCAGCTACTCTGTTGCCATGGGTTTTTGGTAAGAAAACAAAAGCAGAAACACACCATGGCAGAAAAGCCTGAGGCAGAGTAGGGTGCTTACCACCTGGAATCCCTGAAGCAAAGAGAGACTGAAAATAGCCAGGGCAAAATATATCCCTCAAACACATACCTAGTGGCCTACTTCCTCCAACCAGGCCTCGGCTTTCACAGATTCACCACCTGCCAATAGTCCATTCAAAGTTTGAATTCATCAATGAATGAAACAATTAGTAAGAGACTTACAGATCTGATAATCTCCAGAAATATCCCTATAGACACACCCAGCAGTATGTTTTACTAATCTCCTAGGTGTCTCTCTATCTAACCAAGTTACCATTTGGTAGAAATCAAGATTAAACATTGCATTATATGAAGATGGAGCTATACATAGAAATTTTTGTATTTTATCTATATGAGTAAACCTGCATGATTATGGTGGCACACACCTTTAATACCAGCACTTGGGAGGAGAGGCAGGCGGATCTTTGTGAGTTCAAGGCCAACCTGGTCTGCATAGTGAGTTCCAGGACAGCCGGGGCTACAGGAAGACCCTGTCTCAAAAAAAAAAAAAAAAACAATGAAAAAATGACTGACAGAATTGTTAACTCTTTCCTTAAATGAAAATATTTGGTAAATTACTAATAAAAAATATAAGGTTGTACTTTTCTGAATAGCAGACATATGACTTATTGGATATAGTTGACATAAAGCCTTTTTAAAAAAATTTTGAGACAAAGTCTCACTATGTAGCCCTTGCTTGCCTGGAGCTTGCTAGGTAAACCAAGCCATCCTGGAACTCATAGAGATCCACCTGCCTCTGTCTCTTGAAGTTGCAATTAAAGGCATATGTTAATATGTCCAACTAATGAGGCCTATTCTTCAAAGTTCACATGATAAAAATTATACCACAGCGTATATGATTATTTAATGACTCCTCAACAATTGGATGAAGGGCTGAGGTAGGAGGTTCACAGATTCATAGTCAACATGGACTACATAACAAGGTTCTATCTATCAGAACACACACACACACACACACACACACACACACACACACACAAAGCTACTATTAATCCATTAACTAGAATTTCAAAAATAAGTTAGAGATGGATTTTAAAGGTGAATAGCAAAGAAATAAATAATACCACTTCACTAAAACACAGTGTCCTTAATTTTTAAATATAAACTTAATTTTAGGATTCTTTCATTAAAATACTAATAATCAAGAAATTATCAAAGGACAATTCACAATAAAACCCAGTATACATTGAAAACAAACTATTAAGCCAGCTGTAGTGGCACATGCCTATAATCCCAGCACCTATGAGGCTGTAGCAGGAAGATCCAGAGTGTGGAACTAGCCTGGGCTCCATAGTGAGACTTGTGCAGAGAGCATTGAGAGCAAGAGCTAGAGTGAGAGTGAGGGTAGGAGCGGAAGGCAGGGAAGGAGGGAAAGGGAGAGAGAGAGAGAGAGAGGAAGAAGAAGGAGGGGAGAGGAGGGGAGGAGGAGGGGAAGGACAGAGGAAAGGAGGGAGAGACAAAAGAGAGTGTTCAATAGGTGTACTTACATACATGTAGGCAAAACACTCATGTATAAAATAAAAGAAAATAAATCGTTTTTAAAAGATTAATTTTCCATGTTGTAAGGTGGAAAAGACCTATCATATGTGTCAAGTAAAAATACCAATACTTCAATATTATGATGCTAATTTTTAATGAATTTTATCTTCATTAGGTAAGAATTATTTGTTTGAAAGTTTCTTGAGAATTTCATACATAAGTACTATATTAAGTTTGAAACTTTTATTATTTTTTAATTATATGTATTTATATGAGAGAGAGAGAGAGAGAGAGAGAGAGAGAGAGACTATGTGCATATGTATACAGGTACCTTCAGAGGCCACTAGCATTGGATCCCCTGCCTGACTTAGGTTACCCGACTCGGGTCCTCTGAAAGAACTGTATGTGCTCTTGACTACTGAGTCATCTTTCCAGCCCCAATAAGTTTGAAATTTTGTGGACGTAAGATCCTGTCATCTTATAGGTTCTCCCTAAGACTGAGCACCTACAGATTATGGTGCTGGAGTCCGTCACCATCTACTCCTGCAGCTGCACCTCTTCTCCTCATTGTCCAAATCTTAGACATACCAAACTCCCGATGGTTCACCTCAAACAGAAGACCTGGTGGTCTCTAAGTCCTGAGTCTTTGCACATACTTATCCTTCTGCCCGGAACCCTCCAACCTGGCCTATACCACATCTCTTCATTCATGGACTTGCTCTGCCTTATCTTTTCAATCGTTTTTCCTGCAGACAGTCATCAGTGATCATCTCAAACCCTCAAAGCCCAGTGTGAGTCTCCTTGTTGCTCCACAGCCCCATGTGTGCTGCATCTGTTTCCATTTTCACATTTGTTGAACTGTCCTTTCTGCTAACTATAAAACTCAAAAAGCATAGTTTTCTATCTCTTTCTTGCGGGTCCTCATTATTTATGATACCCTGACACTCCCTATATTAATATAATACTGAAATAATAGATCATTTTGTCTCTTCATTTTTCAAGTTTTTATGCCTTTCTTATATATTTTTACAATATAAGCCTGTTTTTAAAAGTGGTCTTTCTCCCACTGATGTTATATCATAACATAGATCCTGAGTATCTGTGCCTTGAATCTGGTGTAGTTTGATAGCTAAACTAGCTAAAAGAGTGACTAGTTCAGTGGTTAAGCTAACACTGGCTATTTTTGAAGCAGATTCACTTAAACATTGGAATGAAAGCCTCAATGACAAAGCAAGTAGTAAGGATGAGATAAACTTAACACCTTTACATTTTAATAAGGTAAAAGAGAGTTTGCAAATTTGTCGAAAGGGCCAATGTATTTCTCTTATTCTGTATGAATTCACCCACTAGTCATCCTGTAGATTTTGGTATAAAAAGTTTCTCTTTGCCCAGGGTGTACGAGGCATTGTTAAGTTACTTTCATGTAAATACTGTACAAATGACAAACAAGTTCAAGAGTTACTAGAATATTTGTCTTGAATCACATTATTCTGCAGGTCCCAGCAGGTATGGCTGTGGCTGTAATCTGAGTCCCTTCCACTCCAACCTGTGCTGAATTTGGCGTGGTCTGAAGGCTCCCACAGCTACCTCTGCTATGCATCTGGGATTTCCCAGTCTGAAGGCAGTCTGCTCCTCTATTCACAGTGCTTGATGAACACAGATGCTCAGTATTAAATGTGTTTTTTTACTCCATTTGAATTTACTATTTCCCAATAAGAAGCTCAAATCCTAGATTTCAAGCATACCATTGCTTTGCATAAGGCTGACAAAATAAGTTGGTTGAGAGAAAATATCAGGGATATAATCCTGTCAGGGCATGGGTGATGCTCACTTTTGCACAAAGGTTAATAGACAGTCCTTGGGGTCAGATCATCTGGGTATAAACTCACTTTCCTCCTGTGTTAAATAGAGATAATGGTGTAAGAATTAAACTACAGGTGGGCATGGTGGTGCATGCCAAGAAAATATCAGGGATATAATCCTGTCAGGGCATGGGTGATGCTCACTTTTGCACAAAGGTTAATAGACAGTCCTTGGGGTCAGATCATCTGGGTATAAACTCACTTTCCTCCTGTGTTAAATAGAGATAATGGTGTAAGAATTAAACTACAGGTGGGCATGGTGGTGCATGCCATTAATTGCAGCACCAGGAGGCAGAGGCAGGCAAATCTCTGTGAGTTCAAGACCAGCCTGGTCTATATAGTGAGTTTCAGGCCATTCGGGACTACAAACTGAGATTTTTCTTTCTCAAAAAGTTAAATCACATGCTATCATGTGATGAAGATTTGGCATATAGAAAGCAATCATGGAGACACCGGCTAAGAGCACTTTATCTAAATGAGTGTTCTGTGTAAGTGAGCAGGCCAGAGGTCCTGGGATCTATGTTCCTTCCTGAACACAATTGCCAGCTCTTATCACTTATCACTTTAGCCTCACAACTACAAAATCCTACAAAATCTATATGGAATCACCATCGTAATAGGATCAATCTGTCCCAGGCTAAACTAAATTCCTCAGAAATCCGCACATTAACCTACCTGGGCCTATAATAACAAAAGGAAACTGCAACTCAAAAAATAAAAATAAAAAAGATGAGGATAACACTTAAGATAAAACACAAGGTAACCTCCACAAGATACTGATTAGCTACATAGCCAGCTACCAAACTTACCAGATTCAGCTTCATAGTATACGCTGGGTAGAGTGGAGGAAGAATCCAGTGAAGTGAATGTTCTTCTTGTACATGTCTTCAGAGGCTGCCGCCTGAAAAATGACATAGAGTTGTAATTCCAGGACCTGGGAGGTGGAGGCAAGGAGATGCTGGTTGCATGACAGGTTTTTTGTTAGCCACTATGTGGGTGCTGGGAATCGAACCCAGGTCCTCAGCCAGAGCAGCTTCTTCAAGAGCAGACAGTGTTTTTAACCTGAGCCATCTCTCCAGCCCCCGGCAGTTCTTTTTTTAAAAAAAATAAATAAAAATAAAAACAAAAAAAGCAGCAGAAGTGCAAAGACAAGGGATCAATAAGTGCCAGCTAGTGAACCTTGTAGAGGAAACCATCAAGTGTCTTCTAACAGATGCTTTTGCTCTTTGGTGTTAAATCTTGGTTGTTTCTGGGCCTGCTGTCTTCTCCCTCCCCACCACTTCAACCCCCAGAATGTGGCTCTCCTTTACAAGATGAGAACCCTTCAAAGATCTGTCACAACATCAAGCTGCTCCTTGTTCTGGTCCCCAGGAGGAACAGGCAGAGCTGCCATTGCCACAGTCCCAGTCCTCACTCATCTGCTCTAAGACAATTCCACACTAGCCCCACTCCATAAAGTCAGCCCTTGTGTTCCAGTTTCATTTCTGTTGCTGTGATGAAAGAACACTGACAAGTAGCAATTTAGAACAGAAAGGGTTTTATTCCAGTTTATAGTCCCAGGTTTGCAGTCCATTATTGTGAGGAAGTCAAGGCAGATACTTCCAGCAGCTAGTGACATCACGGCCACAGGCAAGAGCAGAAAGAAATGAGTGCATGCATGCTCCCTTGCTTGTGCTCAGCAGGGCTTCTCTAGTATAGTTCAGGACCCTCTGCCTAGGGAATGGTGCTGCCCACACTAGGCTGGGTGCTCCCACATCAATTAATTAAGATAATCCCCCATAGGCGTGTTCACAGGCCAATCCAAGGTAGGCAGTCCCTCATTGAGACTCTTTTCAGGTGATTCTAGATGGTGTCAAGTTAGAAATTATAGTTAGTCATCACACCCTGTTCACAGAGTCTAAATTTGACTTCTGCTTCCATCTCAATTTCTAGATTAAAGAGAATAATGAATTATATGAAGACAATACTAACATCTAAGAGGACTCCTAGAAACAGCCTAAAAAGAAGGTCCAGTAAGCTGTCTAAGCTTCCTCAACATCATCAGGAAAACAGACCAAGACTTTTGAAGACTGACACATGAGCTGGTGCCACAATTATTCAAGGCCTCCTATGGCCAAAACCCTCCCCTACACCAGCTACCCCATCCTGTGTAAAGCTGGTGGAACCATGCAGGAAAGAAATTTAGATTTTTTCTTTGACCAGCCAATTCAGATGATATATGTTTTCCAAATGTTCTTTTATACAAATTATTTCAAATATCTAAGATAATCTTAGAGTAAATTTCACTCTTGCTGCCAAGAAACTGTTACATGTTACCACATTTGCATGTTGCTGAGAGCAGTAATGTTTTAATTCATTTGGTGAATAATAATAAAAGGCTATTTATTAAAACGTGGTTTAAGTGTTCTTGTGGTCCGAGTACTGATTTTTGTCATTCATCCTTGGGAGCTCTCAGTTATCACAGTAAGGAATGGAAACTGACTGAGACAGAACTCTGTAACCCACCCCTAAGTGAAACTTCTAGGACCTGTTTTTTCACCACTGTTTACAACAAGAAGCACAATGCTTTTATCATAATTTCAGAAAACAGTCTTAACCATTAAAAAATTAGAGCATGCTTTATGTATGCTGGGTGTCCTAGTTTCATTTCTGTTTGTGATAAAATGCCCTGACCAAAAAGTAACTTAGGGGAAGAAAGGGTTTATTTGGCTTACAATTCCAGGTCACAGTCCTTCACTTCAGGGAAGTCAAGGCAGCAACCCAAGCAGCTGATCATGTCACATCCAGTCAAGAGCAGAGAGAGGGAATGTTTATCCTTGCTTGCTGCTTATGCTCAGCTATCTTTCTTCATTACACAGTTTGGGGGCTCAGCCCATAAAATAGTGCCACAAACATTCAGGGTGGGTCTTCCTACAACAATTGCCAATCAAGACAATCCCTCACAGGTATGCCCACAGGCCAATCTAATCTAAGCTATCCCTCAAAGGAGACTCCCTTCTCAGGTGATTATAGACTGTGTCAGGTTAATAGTTAAAAGTATATTGAGTATATCATTTGCTACACTGAATAATATACTATTTAGTCATGAGCTCATTTAACTATTATAACAACCATGTAAGGTTTATAATAACTATATAGGATTTATTCACAATTTATGTTGGAGTACATTGAAAGTGTTTGAGTAAAGAAAAGATCATGAGGATGAAGAGAAAACTCAGTAAAGTACTTGCCACACAAGCGTGGGGACCTGAGCCACATATGATGGCAAATACTTGTAGCCTCAGCACGGCAGAGGCAGAGACAGGAGGATCCCTGACACTCACTGGTCAGTCAGTCTAGCCCAACGATGGAGTTCCAGGTCAGTGAGAGACCCATCCTCAAAAAAACAATGTGAGCGGTGTTTAAGGAACCACAAGGAAGGTCTCTGGCCTTCATAAGCACACGCACACACACACACACACACACATACACACGCACATATACACATATACACACACATACACACACATACACACATATACACACACATATACATACACACATACACACAGGTACACACACATACATACACACATACATACATACACATACACACACACACACACACACACACACACACACACACACGTACTCACGCACGCACATACCACTATTGCTGATAGAGCTGACAAGAGAATGTGGTTGCCTTCTACAGAACTGGAAACACAGACAACTGCAGTCATTTACCATTAAGCTTTATGCATAGCTGAGGACAGTGAACACAGGATTCCTAAGGGTTAATTCATGTCCAAATACATCAGGAAGGAAGAACTGCACAATCACCCAAGTCCTTCCAACCTCATCAACCAGATAAACCACCTCAGTAGGGTGAAAGAGGAGGAGGCAGAGGAAGACCAAAAGGAAATGGAGAGTTCCCCCTCAGTCTGAGACAGGAACCGGGAGAGGGAAGATGTGCTCTCCAACAACACATGTAACAGAGGTATTGTTAGAATGCTCATAATAAGTGGTGATTCTGATTATATTACCTCATGATAGCAAAAGTATAGAAAATAGTTTTATAACGGTTAATTCTCTACCATAATTGCAAACAATAAATAATTAAATGTAAAGATTTTAGCCAATGAATCTTCTCATTTCCTTCCAAATGTCAAGAGTCTTGTTTCCAATTCAGTGCATGTAATTCTCAGACGTGTTAGGCACTGGAGTGAACACTGATGAGATTAAAGAGAGTGACTCAAAGATTTCTTATTGGAGTCCTTTAGAGTAGGTGAGTGTTAGGGTATTTAACTGTGTAATGGGCAAGGTTTATTCAGCTTCGAGTCTTAGTAGAGTAAACGTCCAGCTCTTTCCCACTACCTTACAATTTCAAGACATTTTCTTGGTAGGTGGCACATTTTCACAGGTCAACGTCCCCATCTAGTGGTACCAGTAGAACTGAACTTTGAAAACTAATGCAATACCCACATTGCAATCCCTAGGCCTTTGGACAACAGTAGAGCTGATTGAGCCCCCAGGGAAGCATTCAGGCTATTTTTCACTTGTTTATGTCCTTGTGGAACTGAAAGCCTTACAAAGAGTGAAAGGTACATCTTCCTTTATGTACCAAGCCCTCTGGATTGGCTTTACGCTCCTTTCTGTTGCAAGCTCTCTTCACTCCAGAATACGTGCTTCTCCTAGAAAGGGGCTGCTTACCTCTCCACCTGTACTTGATAAAGTTCTTCTGGAAATCCCTCTCAGCGTCCAACTGATGTCTGGAGAGTGCCATGGTGCTTTGGGGACAGTGATGCACGCAGGATTAGTGCTTGACAATTTGCTGTCTCACTAGCTTCTCTAAAACAGCTTTTTCTAAGCCCTCCCTGCCATGCAATATCTACATCACTGAAGGTCAAATAAAGAAGTGCTTTTCCCTTTGCCTTCAAGGAGCTCCATGAAGGCAGACCTGCATCCATTTTGCTCACTGTTGAAGCCACAGTGTTCAGCACACATTAAGTGCTATACTTGTTGAAGGGATGAATGAACAGAAGAGTAACCAAGCGAGAAACAGCCATCACAAGAATAATTTTAAAAAGAAAAACATAATTCTGGGACTGGAGAGATGGCTCAGTGGTTAAGACCACTGACTGCTCTTGCAGAGGACCTGGTTTTGATTTCCAGCACCCACATGGCAGCTAACAACCAGTTCCAGGAGATCCAACACCCAATTTTGACCTCTGCAGGCATGGCACAACACAGGTGCGCTTAGGCACGTGCAGACAATGCACTCATATACATAAAATTTAAAAAATAAGCAAAATACCTTTTTAAAAAACATGATTCCCATCCCCAAATTCATGTTTTTCTTTATTGAGATATATTTCTATTCACTTAATCCACTGTTGTATACCTACCACTCTGCGAATAGTGAGCACAGCACAGACACATAACAACCAATACAGTCAAGATAAGGAATAATAAAGATTCCCTCTCCTAAGATCAGTGAGTGCTCCCATATGTGCATGATGTCGGAACTGAAACTCGATTCCTCTCTTGCCCCTTGCTTTAGCAAGCACTCATGTATTTTCTGTTCCTGTAGTTTTGCCTTGCCCTGAAAGTCGCCATAGGTCAGTTTCAGGTCTGGTTTCTTTCACTTGGTGTAATAAACTTGGAATTCATCCAGGCTGTTTTATATTTCAGTAGTCATCTCTTGCTATTGCCAGGACATATTCCACTGTGTGTATATAACACAATTTTTTAATCCACTCACCACCTTCATAGATCACTTGGGTTTATTGCTAAGTTGTGGAGATTCTGGAAGGGGTATAATATAAAATTTAATATCCAAAATGCAGACACTTAGAGGACCTAGATTCACTTAGATAAACGTCTAAAAGTGGGGCAGGTAGGTTATATAGGAAGCCTGTTTTAGCTATATACAAAACTGCCCAATTGGTTTCCAAAAGGGCTGCATCGTTTTACATTGCCAACAG